CAATAGTTTGAAGAGAACTGGAGCCAGCACGTTTCTTTAGGACAACTGCTGGGATCCCATCACCTCTACTTGCCTTATGGGAGTCTAATTTAGAGATGATGTTCAAGACCAGTGACGGGTTTATGTGCATATCACTCAGCAGAGCCTCAGTTCTAGGTGGGGAAATCAGATGTAAGTACTCAAAACGAATTGTGTTGGAAGAGAATTTCCGAGCAAAGCATTCAACCTTATCTGCTGTAGATTTCAGAACTTTGAATTGATTGAATGGATTGAGGGGTTGCTGTTGTTCAGCACACTCTTGCAGAGCCACCAATAATCTCTAGAACCAAAATTGGGAGATAGGGCTATAGCAGCTGAGCATGCAGGTGAGAACCAAAGAGATGAATGTAGTTTAACTAGGTCTTTCCTTGCTGGAATAAAAGTATTGATGACAGCTTTCACCCAGGAGGAGACTTCAGACATGCATTTTTGAACAGTATGATTAAAAACTTCATTCCAAGGGATGTCACATAGGAAATCACAGAACAAGTTTCAGTTCGAGTAATTATGTTCACACAAACATGTATATGCACAAAAGCTGTGTATCATCTACCATGTACTCAACTGTGAAGTCAGAATAACATATATCATATTTTTATTACTTCAGAGCTCCCAAGAAAATTAAATTTTGGCATTAAATAACCCATAAGGAGTTGATATGCCATTAAATAAACAAAGACACATTGATTGAATTTCTTAAGAACCTTATTTCTTTTGTCTGACCTGTTCAGAAAAAGGGGTTGAATTTGAATTTTTGTTGGGATGTTAAAATTTCTTTAAGGTTTTTTTCCTGTTTATCTTAAGATTTGGATATGTTTTAAGCTTTTCTTTTCCAGTCACTCCCTGAAAAATACTAAACAAAAAACAAAAGTGTAAACTATATCCAGGAATTCCCTCTACAAGTTGTTATTCTACCTTATTTCCTGTATAGATGTCTTATCAGCTATGGAATGTCAATCTACATTACACAATCCCCCTCCCCGGCCTACTGACCCCATCTTTTTCTTAGAGATGAGATTTATCCAGAGCCCCACATTTTTGTATAGGCCTCTCTCTCTCTCTCTCTCTCTCTCTCTCTCTCTCAAAATGGGTCAAGATGAGAAACCTGTTTCCTTTTGGTTACAAGCCCTTAACTCAGGAAACCTAATTAAGATTTGTTTCATGTCCCACTTGGCTTTTTAATTTTTCTCTCTGAAGTCTATTTCAATGCGTTTGTAAGTGTGCACGTGTACATACACACACACACACATATATATATATATATATATATATATATATATATATATATATATATATATATACATAAACACATTACTAAAAGGTTGAGAAATTATCTCTAAATCTGATCAATTGCTAAAGAGCGAATATCAAACAACTTAGTTTTGCTTACAAAAAAATCTTTTCTTATATGCCAGTATATGATGGTTGACCACTCGTATCCAAGGATGCCTGACTACTAGGCTAGCTAGCTAATCCCTGTTGCAGACACCTGCTCAAGCACATTTATGTTTGTTCAACATCCACAGAATCCACATGTGGTTTATACTGCAACTTAGTAACAGTTTCTTGGGAAAGAGCGTGTTATCTAGTGATTAACAGTCTGAACAAGGCCAGCATGTTCAAACCCTCAGTCACAATGACTTGTGACTTTGTGCTAGGATGACCATTGATGGCTCCCAAAAGGTTCCATCTACCCATAAAGGCTTGGGTCAACCAGGGTATGATTTTCAGGCACTTTTCAAAGGTGCCGCACACTGAGATCACCTCTCCAGTCCGATAACATGAAGAAGTTACCTTCCTGACAAATTGACCATAATTAGATTCGAACCTGGGTCTCATGGTCACAATTCAAATGTTTTAACCACTTGGCCACTTGCCCAGTATATATGTATACATATATTTTATATTTATATGGCTAATGTTTGTATGTATTCTATACAGATACTTTGTTTTTAGGGCAATATGTTTTGCTGTGTGTATGTTTATCTAAAGTATACATAATGAATTTATATCTATTTGTATGAGTATATTGATTGGTTGATTAGATTTTTAACAGCTTATCAACCCTTTGCCAGGAAAAATTTATGGATTCAAAGATTTTTGAATTTTTTTTTTTTTTTTTTTTAGATAATAATTTAGTGATACAAGATTTACTAATTAATCCATAGCTGGGGAGAGAAGAGGTGAATTCATACCTTTCCCTAGGGTATTTGAGTGTAATTGAATATAACGAACCCAACTAGAATTTGAACTCAGCTCTCCAATTAAAAAATTCTGAGCCATTATCAATTACACCACCTGCACATCCAGACATAAAGCACCTGGTATTTCCAAACGGTTACCTATCTAGATACTGACCAGGCTTGATGTTGTTTAACTGCTGTGATTGAATGAGAACCAGTGTTTCAGAGTAATATTTGTGTGTGTATATGTTTGTGTGTGTGTATATATATATATATATATATATATATATATATATATATATTCATGTTTCCATTTGTGTACATCCATTTCAATGAGTATATGTACATATACATCTGCTTGAGTAAAAATTATATATTTGTATGTATCTATGTGAAAAATATATATATAATTTATATGTGTAATTATGCATCTATTTATGTGATTTTATATATATATATATATATATATACACACATACATGTTATGTGTATGCATCTATTTATGTGATTATATATATATATATATATATATATATATATATATATATGTTATGTGTGTATCTATTTATGTGAATATATTTTATGTGTGTATATCTGTATTAACATATATTTATGTGTGTGTGTGCGCACATCTCTTTGTGATTATATTTATATGTATCTATGTGAATATGTGTGTGTGTATATCTATGTGGAAATTTTATTCATATATATAAATATGTGTTGCATTTTTACCTTTCTTAAAATAAAAAAATATAAAATGTCGAAAATGCTGCTTATTTTCTTTCAGCTTCAATGTGAGCTAATTAATAAAGAAAGATTAGCCAATTTTAACAAAACATCATACAAACTTTTATGACAACCAACATAATCAAATATGATCTTTTAACAGAATTAAAACTAAATAATTATAACATGTCCACTGCTGTAGTTGTACTTTAATCTTTCCAAAACCTATATTGCTTGCATATATATATATATATATATATATATATATATATATATATATATATATATATATATATATATTAATTAGTAGGAGGATTTGATAATTATATTTAATTAATTCATCGAGTCTAATAGAAACCTCAACAGAATGCAGAAAGCACTGGACGGCTGTTTCATTCCTATATTTGGGACTCATCAGCAGTGCACATCCACTACCGAGAATTGAAAACCCTGACAGTTAGGTTGTCAGCTTAACATCATACCAACTGTTCCAAATGGGCCTCGTGACGAAGAGATTCCAAATCAGACTCAACTTAGCGCCGCTCACATATTCCGTGACAGAACTCAACTGAGTTCTCTGTAACCATAGGACTGTGCCCCTGGAGCCATGACTGCTGATGAGTCCCAAATATAGGACGAAAACGGTCATCCAGTGCTTTCTGCATTCTGTTGAGGTTTCTATCAGACTCGATGAATTAATTAAATATATATATATATATATACACTCACACCTTTTCAAGATACCAGGAAATGTCCTTCTTTAGAATTTGTGTTATAAACTAACTAGAGCTTAGTATTATATCTAAATCTGTGAAAACGTACAAGGTCTGTCTGAAAAGTAATGGAACTGGGCCTGCTGTGTGGCTGTCTGGGCAGAAGAGGGATAAGTGGATTGTGTTATCATCTAACATGATATCTTGCGAGTATAAATCTATAATCCTAGCGTTTGCTTCATTCGTTGCGTAAGAAGAGACAAGGGTTGTGGCAGGATAAATTGTAGCTGCTTCACTGTGACAATTCACTTGCTCACAATGCCGCAAACATCTGGCAGTTTCTGGCAGAGAAGAACATTGTTGTACTGAAACAACCTCCCTATTTACCTGATCTTTCTCTGTGTAACTTTTTTCTTTTCCCCAAGCTCAAGGGTATCCATTTTGAAGGTGTAGAGGCCATCAAGAGGGTCATAATGACTGAGCTTAGGGCCATCCAAGACGAATCCTTCCAGCAGTGCATAGAGGCATAGCAGAGAAGGATGGAAAAGGGCATTAGACTCGAGGGGAATTACTATGAAGGGGAAACCATGGAGTTTGTTGTTTGGAATTAAAATAAATTAATTGTGACACCAGCCCTGTTACTTTTCAGACAGATCTTGTATATAATAGTGTATGATACAATATGTTTTAACAATGTTGTGCTGTTAAGGTGCATGTTGATTTGGGTAATCCCTGGGAGAATTTCAAACTTAACACTTTATTTAATCTACAGAGTTAGATTGTTCTCATTCTGCTAACCATGTCTAGGGATACCTCATCTTGTTATTTTCATATTGCTCTGTTATTGCTTGCCCCATTTTCCACTGAGTCCAAGAATGGACTGCCCATCCCCTGTCCCCTGTAGATTAAATAAAAGGTTCCATTCCAGATCAAGAAGCACCTGATAGATACTTGAGTGTATAACAGCTGAAATGGTTTGATAACAACAACAAAGATGAGGACAATAGTCTGCTTTTAAATAATGATGGCGCCTCATCCTAGAAATTCAAACTAAAACAACCCATTTTATGATGTATTTGTATTATGTGTTGGGCTTGTTGTTTAGCTTAATCTGTACTCCAGTGTATCTGATCAAAACCAAAATGGTGGTACCTACAATAGCAATTTTCTACTTTTACTAAAATGGGCCAGCACAGCCAGGTAACAATTCTATAATAATACAGCAGTGGAAATAAAATGACATCTAATGAAAAAACAAAACAGTTTTTTGTTGTCCAAACTAATCGCTACTATCTTTCAAAATGCAACTTTTCTAATCTTTTTAATTTCTCTTTTTCAGTCCTACTTTGTGACAGATTATGATCCTACCATTGAAGATTCCTATACCAAACAATGTCAAATAGACAGTGTTGTCGCTCGCTTAGACAGTAAGTACTTAAATAGTTTTCTTACCTTAAATTAATCATTAATTTAAAAAAAAAAAAAGCTAAAATGTCTTAATTTTTGTTGACACGCAACCAATATTTTCTATATATCATTTGGTTACATTTCTAAACAAACTTCTTATATTCTTTTTCTTTCGCCTTTAACCCTGGAAGGAGTTGTTGGGACTCTAACATGCTAAGCTGTCCCCACTTCTCCTTCATCTGTCACGGTCATATGCCAGAGCCTAGGTCTCCACGAATGGTTTCTTTCATGTGGCATGTCTTGGGCATTTTAACCTGACGGAGCCCATCCCTCTCCAGGTTAGACCACGGCCAATGTCCTCCAACTAGGTGGCTCACCTTGGTCACAAACATGTGGCTGGTCAGTGACCTTTGTCAAAGAGGTCCTTCACTCAGTGGTGTTGTTAACACCACCCTCATGTGTTTAGCCCACCAGCTGAAGTGGTTTACAAGTCGGAAAAAAAAATCTCACTCTTTAGATTATAAACGCATAACTATATCTTTTGTTTCCATCTTGTAATTTAACTGTATAAAAGCAAACAGTTACACAATTTTGTTTTCTTCATTTGCTTATAAAATCTAAAAAAGAACTTCAATAGTTACATAATAAACCCATTATGCAAAATATATGAGTACAGAAAACCGGAATTGTGAGAAGCTTTACTCTATCAACTCATATAGTAGCTGTAAAAAAAATAACTGGATTATTATGACCAGATTGGCACTTCTAACTGGATATGAACTTTGCATAGTATCAAAGTGTGACATCAAGGCCTTACTGCCTGGGATCAGTGCAATAGCTATGCACTCTGTGGTGAAAAGTTTTATACACTCAATATAGCCATCTGAGAGCAAAATTGGGAAAAGCAAGGAGGTGGAAAGTAAGAAAAAAGATAGAGAGAAATGAAAAGCTGGTGAAAGGGAAGTTGGGGAGGGGATGGTCACAAAAGAAAGAAGATATAAATAGGTCATAAGTTTTACTACTCCTTTACTCCTTTAAAGTGGGTGAAGCTTATTTTATTTTTTTATCTTTTGGGTCAAGATGCACACTTTATTTAAGTAGGTAGTTAGATACTGCAGGAGTAATATAGTAATTCTATAAAACATAACATGACTAAATATTTAATGGTCATACTGTCTTATCTCCCCTTCTTAGTAACAGTTTTTATGGTAACAGGAAGCATTACTTAGCGCTAATAAGTGAACTTGACTTGTATTAGTATAAGCCTAAACCATTATTAAGTAGGAGATATCAGGCTGCTGGTGTTTTTTGTTTCAGGTTAGCTTTTTGGTATTTTTATCATTAAGTTTTAGTTGTATAGATAAAAATTTTAAGTTACTCATGCAGGAACTGTAACCAATCCATTTGCAAAATTATTTAAGACTAACCTCATTTTTTGACAATACTAATGAATTAGTAAATTATAAAAATTCTATATGATAACTTTGTTTTAATAAGTTTTTTTTATGCAAATAAATGGGCATCTCTAATGCATTGAATTTTCACATAGTTCATCTATTTAATTAATCAAACTTGAGCTGCCAAACTTTGACCTTTGTGTCAACAAAAAAGTGTCAATAAGATGGTTTTTCCCTTGACACCGCTATTATTATAACTACCTTCTATCCTTGACAATGTTGTTTTAAGAAACAATGGTTAAAATTGTTGTAAAAGCTAAACATATGAAAGTGAATTTACAAACCTTTTTGTTCTTGAGAATTTACAACGAAAATATTAAACACTATTAGATTGTTTATTTTTAAGAATAATTTTATATTTACAACATTCTAAAAACTTATACAATTAGAACTTATATAATGCAATATTTATCATTTCCCACTTTATAAAGAAATAAATATGAAAATTTTTTATTCATAAACATTTATTAAATTGTTAAAATATGTGAACTAAGGAAATCCTTATTATTTACCATTTTATAAAGTTTTGTTATATATTATACAATAGGAATTAAGATTACATTGAGTTAATCTTTTTCAACTTGTAAACTGAAATAAAATTTACAAGGATTTTTCAAGCCAGTCAACGGATAAATTATCAAAAAAAAAATATATATATATATATATATATATATATATATATATATATATCAACAGATTATTACCACTGTGTGTGTGTATGTATATATATATATATATATATATATATATATAGGTAAATTATTTCTACTGGTAGAACAACTCTGAATTTCATGTGCAATATAATCGTCACGTCCTAATTAAAAAACAACTGTTGCATACTTTAAATATTGATATTTGTACTGCACTGTAAAAATAGTGCAGCAGCCCATTTTATTTATTTACAGGTTTGAAGTAATAAAACAATAAAATATATATATATATATATATATATATATATATATATATATATATATATATATATATATATATACACACACACACATTACATACCTCCAAATACAAACATATAAATATAATTTAAGTATATAAATGTACACATAAATATTAAAGACATATCCAGATATACAAATATAGTAGATACATCCACACACACACACATATACATATAAAGTTTGTTAGTTAAATGGATACTATATATAGGCATCATATCTGTCAATAGTAATGGGATTATTTATATAATAGAAATTTTTTTGCAACATGTTGACATGTGTTAAAATCTTCACAGTATTTATTATTGTTGAAGTTATCACTAACATTTTTGTCAAGATTTACAAACCTTATGTTTTTTTCAATTTTGCAAACCAATCGTTGTTTTGGGGTTTTTTTTTTTCAATTTTCATTAAAACTAATGAAAATTTATTGTACTAAGCTATACACCCTAGTAAAACCAATTGTACTTTGTACCCCCTTACCTGTTAGTATTTCTCCACAAAATTTGGTTTCAATTAGTGTATGACTAACAGAAGTCACAGAATTTTATATATAGATAGATGGATCAGCACTTCCGCCTAAGATCAGAATGTAGTAAGTGTGCACACTGAAAATATTGTGTGTGTGTGTGTTTACACATACAAGTGTTGATTAAAGATAATTAAAAGTAATTTGTTAAGCATTTTTTTTTAGGATGTCTCAGTTATATATTTCCAATGAAAGTTTAAATATAAATTATTTAAATATGTGAATACTTTAGGCATCCATTAGCAATTATCAAAGTGATTTAGCTTCCTTTGTGCTTTGTCAGTTTCATGTTTGAAATTCAATATTTGAAAAAAAGGTGAAAATAAAATTGTAGTATCCAGGTACAAGTGGATTACAGTATACAATCTCATCTGAGGGTATGTTGAAAAGTACTCAGCCTAACCTACAGTCTTAAATCTGATCAATTAAAGAGTTTGGGGGCTGGTAGAAGAATTTCTCAGCATCTCTTCATACAGATCAATGCTTGCACAGATTCAAAAATTAAGGGTGTTTCAACAATGCTAATATTTATGCACTGTTTATCCTCCTTGGGGATTAACATAAACCTTTACTCTCATGTGCATACAGTCATACAAATGGTGAATACCATCCTGTGTTGTATTATTTCATGCCTCTTACAACTGCTGGCATAATATCACCAGTTGTAGGTGGGCTAACTGAAAGTGTCAGGCATTGTTCCACCATGTCTCATACAGGTTCAATGGGAAACAAGTCTGGTGATTATGCTAGGAAAATTGTTGAACAATTTGTAGACATGTTGAGTAACACAGGCATCATGTGAGCTGGTGTTATCTCACTGTAACTGTACATCATCTTCCTACTGCAGAAATAGCAGCACAATGCATTGAACATTATTCAATATTACTTTCATATACACCAAAAGGCCAAGTGAGCGTTATGCACACCCATTATGATGATACCAGTGGATGTGTTTTGTGTCCCATGAGCAAATACGCTCTTGAAGATATTGCTTCTAATTTTGTCAAATATACAAATGACTATCACTTGCAGGAAGGTAGAACCTGCTCTCAATTGAATACTAGTGCCATTCAATCCTTCAGTTGACCTTCTCACATCTTTTGGAAACCTGAATGATCTGTTCCATGGACCCTGTGTGGCCAGACACTGTCATCCTTACAATGGCAAGTATTTGTACCATGTGACCACCTGGTCCATGAGTGTAAGAATGTTCACATGACCACTGTTTCCAAAATTGAAGCACCTCCAACACATATCCAACAGGTGCAGTGATTTTCCACGATAACTAACCAGTTAACAATCCAATCCATCTCTAATTGAACAAAAGAGACATATGTGTGTGTCTCCATGGCATGACACCTGCTTGCATTGGACCAAATTTCACCACACCGAATCTTATCATAGCATGCATCACTGTCTAAAACTGAGACTATAGATGTACTGGGATAAGTGTTACTATGTCAGAAGATGGTTGAAATACCAGGTGCTGTAAGTGCCAAGTTCCAATTCCAATCTGGGTCTTTGTATTCACTTACATGCAAAAATCATTGGGAAAGGTATGAATTCACCTCTTCCCCTCTCAACTATGGGTTAATTAGTAAGATTTGTAGTAGTAAGTCATTAATATCTCCAGTAAAATTATTACAATCTAAAAATATATTTTCTGGCTTTAAATAACCTGCAAAAGGTTGATAAGTCATAAAACAAAAATCAATCAATTAAAACTTTATCAGAATATCTGCTGTCTCCTTGCATTCACTTATTGTATCCAGATTGGAATCAGCATTGTATTTTAGGTTGTTGAATTTTCTTTATCTTTATTTCTCTGTCTCTCTCTTTCTCTGTCATGTAGATATAGTAGGCCAATGAAAGAAATTTGAAAGCTAAAAAACAAACAAAATAATACTATTGATAATAAGACTAATAATGTTTATTGTATATTAGTCGGCCTTTTGGTCAAATTGAAGCATTATGAGAAATGATGTTGAAAATCACAATTTTCACACACACTCATGTCCTTTCTCAATGCAAAATAAAAAATAAAGTGGAACTATGGTTGGTGAGGGAGGTATATTCAGTCAGTT